AAGACAGAAAATTGGAGTGCCTATACGGTACCAATGTTTCCTCTTGGCTTGTAGATTCAACAGCTGATCTGTAGCCACTGTAAATTATGTCATCAGCAGAAGCCTGGTAAGTAAGAATTTTTGAAGGCACCCTCTCATATTCAACACAGTTAAGGTAACTATTCACAGAAGCTGAAGAAACATGAATCAAAGAAATGAGAATAAGAAGCTGCAACATTATATGGCAGCAAGTAGTTACAGATTGAACGACATTGAAGAACATAATTTAGAGAACCTTCCAAAGATCTTGCTACACCCATGAAGTTTTTGGCTACCAAATTGTGCAGATCTTCACCAGCCCAGATTGGATATATACAAATATTAACTGCCAAGGCAACAGCAGCACCGATTGCAATGAACAAAAATCTGTTTGTAGCTGTATGAATGAATTCCCTGGTATGATAACCAGATATTGTAACTAAGCAGTATGTGATCAAGAACACACGAAATCCATATTCATAAGCCTTCATCGTGGGATAGAGTTTTGCATAGGTGATACAAAATCCTGGCAATCATACAGTTCATCAGAGAACCAGGCACAAAGCCTAATAAAATAAGTCTCAGGAACAATATAGACCAACAATACATGACATGAACGAGATTGGAAACCAGACCTACAATGAAGGTACCAATAACAACAATAGCTTCTTCCCAATCTCCAGCCCACTCTGATAACTTTGCCATTCCCAAAGCTAGTCCTGCAGCAGACAAAGTCCCCAATCCTCTGTTGAACCCTTTGCTAAGTGTAGCTCCTGCAGAATTGCAACGTCATTGATCATAAACAAGTCAAAGATACTTGTGCCTGGACTCTGAATTGATCCAGGGAAGAGCATTTTATCTAGAAGACACCATATTTTCTGATGAATGAATTAGAAATATCGAATTCTGTCAAGGACGAATATTTTTCACGACAAAGCAAGAAACGATACAACATTGGCTTTGGAACATGGAAGAGAAACTAATTATAGCTGGTGGTTTTATCAAAAAGCGCAACAGGAACATGAATCGAAGAATCTTTTTTTTTTTTTTTTTTAAGTTCGGATGCCTTTGAAGGAAAACACTTGATAAATTTACAGTTAATATATTACTACACTGGGACCCTGAGTTAAATCATTGAGAATGAAAGAGATTAAAAAAAGCGTCTCCATGCTAATAATGCATACGCCCAAATTCGACATGATGTACGTGATATAAACACAGAATATAATCAAAGAATTGGTCCCCACGTACAAAAATTTATAAAACAAAATCAGAGAAAGACCATACCTATACTGAATTCAAAGACGACGACGACAGTCATTATAGACCAGACACAATATTTACTCATATCATGGAAGGGCTCTTTCAAGAAAATCAACAAGGAAAGCAGCATCAACCCAAATCCCACTTTCGCAGAGAATACGACTTTCCTGGGATCACTCCGACCCATCTCCCATGCCCCAGTAGCAACCCTCTTGAGTGCCTTCCAGCCCTCGATAATGCCATCGGAGAAAGCACGGTAAGAACAACACCTCCTCCTTGAACGAGCTTCTTCTTCGTCCGACCCCAGAATATCGATCCCAATCTGAGAATACCCCTTCATGGAGAGCAGCCTCTCCCTCTTAGCTTCGGCGAAACTGTACCTGAAAGACCCCATCTTAGCCATTCTCGTGTTCGTAGCCATACTTTCACCGACGCAATTGATTCACGTGCAAGGAAATGGAAGTTTGTGAAAACCGTAACTGAAGATTTGGATCAGCGTCAGACAGAGTGGGTAAGGGAGCGTGAAAACAGCGGGAATGCTGTGAGATTTTCCGCGTTGGAGTGTAGAATATGAAGCGAAAAGTTGCCAGCGATGATCTGATATGCTCTTTTTCTTGCTCGGAACTTGCAGAGCCGGGAATCGTGAGCACGAGAGCGTGTGCGTGAGACCAGAATACACAAAGTTGATCATGGAAGAACGAGAAGGTGATTTCCTCTTGGTCATGGCGTTCCGACGCGTGGCGGGATGAGCTCGCGTAGCTTACGCAATTTAGCTTGCATGATCACTATTTCTCGATGCTAAACCTGCGTCTTACGTTACTTTTTCTAATTAGGGTCAATGAATAATAACATTTTTTTAAAAAATAATGTTATTATCCAAAATAGGGGCATGTTGTACCATATCTTCTTTGCTTAATATAAACGCTAATTTCATATTTAATTTAATCATAAATGTAAGATCTCAATTTATTTTATTTAATATTAATATATTTTACCCTCAAGTAATTTCTATGGTAATTAAATATATTAAGTAATTCAAATACACATAATTAATAAGAGTATTTTAAAAAAGACAATATGTATTTACTACAAATAACAATTTAACTAATTTTTTTAATCTCTCTAAATTAATCAACTAAATTTTATATTGAAGACTGAAAGTAGTACTACCTTATAAATCAATTTATCAAGCAATGTGAAGAAAATGGCAGTTGTTTATCCCCATATACAATGCTTAACTAAGCTATTTACAAATATGATGGTATGGTTTGATCTGTATAAAAAATATCACCGCCTCTTATTTGTAATATAAGAGCTAATTTATAGTATAAATTATAGTACAACTTAGCTTTTATCTTAGTAGCAGACGTAACAATAAACCAGACTCTACTCAATTCTTTAGAATCTTTCTTTTTTTTCCCCCTTTTTTTTTTTTTTTTTGGGGGTGTGGCTGAATCTGATAAGAAGGCTATTGACAGTTATAAATAGATACCTTTTGGTATACATGGCAAACAACATAAGCTTATCTCCCTAACTCATTTTTGGAAGCGAAGAATAAATTCTTTTCAACTAAATTCTATATCCACCAAATTCGAATAGCTTCTTAGCATATTTAAAAGGATTAAGGTCAGCACTTTATATTTTTTTTAGCAACACCCAGTCGTAAAATAATTGTTTTTGGAAATAATTTTACCCTCCTACTTTTGAAAACAGTAAAACTTCCATAAAACGTTGGTTAAATGGGACCCGTAAACTTAGGATTCAGGAAAAATGACCCAAAAATACTTTTTGAAATTTAAAGACAAATTGGTTATGCAAATAAGTGAAAGGACCAAATAGGTATGAGGTAGAAATTTGGGATTCACAAAATTTGGTTAAAAGATTAAACTACCACTGAAGTAAAATGAAAAGCATCAATAGGTTTTACAAAGTGATTGACAACTTTCAAATTGAACTTGACCATTTTCATAATATGTTTTGCAATATGTTATTAGTCATTTACAAACTAGGCCAAACTTAAGGGATTAAGTTGAACAAAATTATTAAACACACAAAGTAACTGATCACTTGTGAAATAAAAGTACTCATTTCCATAATATATTTCACATGTTATTAGCCATTTCCAGACAATTTTACTAAACATGTAACGTGATTGACAACTTACAAAATAAATTTGACTATTTCATAACACACTTTGCAACTTGTTATTAGCAATTTGTAGACAATTTTACTAAATATGTAATGTGATTGATAACTTACGAAATGAAATTGACTATTTCTATAATGCATTTTTCAAGTTATTATTAGTTATTTTCAGACAATTTTACTAAATGTGTAGCGTGATTAACAACTTAAGAAATGCATATAACCATTTCCATAACATGTTTTGAAACATGTTATTAGTCATTTCCAGACTTGGTACAATTTTTTAGGGGGCCAAGTTAGACAAATTAACTAGACATGTAAAGTGATTGACAATTTGAAAAATGCGTTTGATTATTTTCATACTATTGAGTTAGTCAATTTCTAACAAGTATGACCTTTTAGGGGAATTAAATAATGGGGTAAATGTTTTGAGAAATCAGTGGATAGTCAACAAGTACATCTAAAATATATCATAATAAACATGTTAACAATAGCTTTCGTGATTTACTACATTTGTAATAGAATTAAGCATTAAAATAATGATACTTACCAAAAATCAGTAGCCCTATGACAGTAATTACATTATATATATTGAACTGAAGATTCTTCAAGCAGTATGAGAAAGTCAGAGGAGTAGAGAAGGAGCCTATTGTATGATTGAAGAATGGTAACATGAGGAATGTAAGGGTAATTAAAATAGGAAACGCAAACAACAGGTGAACTGAAGTTGGAAGTTCGGAGAGGGATGATTTGGAAGTGAGGAAGGGTCTGTAATTGGTTTTGAAGAAAAAGACGCTAGAAACATCATGAGGAAGAGAGAAAAGAACCTGAAAAGAGATAGAGAACTCTTTTTGATTTTGACAAAAAAGGAATGAAAGAAAGGGCATGCAGGTAAATTGTCAAATTTTGCAAATCTCAAATTAATATCTATTGACTTATTTATCTTTCATGAATTTAGAATGACTACTTTGACATTTTAGAATTCAAGTGGTATTTATATGGGATTTTCTCTAGAGTTTAGGTGCATCTAACACTCAAAATATTTTCTCAGTAGTACTTAGCATTTAAAATAATTTTTTGTGTAATTTTATTCTTAAAATATTTCTCAAGCTAATTTCTCTTATCATTCTTTTTTTTTCATATTTTCAATACCCATTCTCTATATTTTCAATAATTAATTTTTATCTTTTTTGGAAGTCCTCTTGAATATTTTCTAACTTGGCCAGTTGTCCTCGATAACATTGCACCTCACCAAAATATTAAATATCTCCTGCGTCAAAATGCAAAGAAACAATTGCGTGAGTCTCCGAATTTTGTTTGACGTGAATTATCTATTAAAGGAATTTAAATGCCATTTTCACTTCATAATAGAGCATATTAGTTGAGTGAGGCAAAAAGAGGGAGGAAAACAAGAACTGCATGTCTGATAACATGCAACAACTCATTATCACACGAAAACAGACTCATTTACCTATTTAGACGCCTTCTTAATCCTCTTAATCCTTATCCCTGATCGAATTTCACACACTATGGCTTCTTTGTTCCTTATCTTTTACAATATTTTCCTCATGGTCATGTCTCATTCGCCCCCCATCAATGCACAAGATCCAAGCTTTTCTAATCCCAGCATAGCCCAATGCACCTCCAGCCTCCTTCCTCTTGTTCCTTGTGCACCATTTGTGCAAGGTATTTCTGCGTCCCCCGGACAGCCATGCTGTGACAACCTTGAATTGCTCTACGCACAAGTCCCGCGTTGTCTCTGTGTTTTGCAGAATGTCTCCTCAACTTTGACCTCCTTCCCCATCAATAGGACACTTGCCCTGCAGCTTCCTGCCCGCTGTACCCTTCAAGTCAATGTCTCTGATTGCCCAGGTTCTAATAACTTTCATTCATGTTATAGCATGTCTAGAAATCTTGTGGGTATTTTAATAATAGCATACCTGTATAGTTAGATGCAGCTTTTCTTTCTTTCTTTTTTAATGATTTGGCATTATTTTTTATGTAGGGGTAAAATTGCCAACCAATTCACCTCCTACTCAAGCGTCCAATGGGACGATGGGCAGCCCAACCGTTGCTGGTAAAGCATTCTCTGTTTTCTTCCCCCCTATTTATTATGAAGTTTTGATATTATTTTGATAACCAAGTTGGCTTCTTCTTTTTTCTTCTTTTTTCCTGATGGTTCTCTCTTTCTACTGCAATTTTAGCTTCCCCAATAGTTCCAGTGACACCAAAACCCAGCGTTATAGGATTTGGACTTGCAAGAAGCGAAGCCATTAATTTGAAGGCAGGGGATGGTCTTACTGTAGCCTTGACCACAGCAACCCTCTTCTTAACATTTAAATTATGACTCTAGTCCTTACCTTTAGTCAATGGCAGAAGAACTACTATGTATTTTGATACAGTTTTATAAATGTTTTGCTATTATTTTTATCTATTTTAGCGTATAGCATGTAGATTAGGTGGTTTTGTTTATAGCTTAGATGCAGGCTCTCCATCTGTTCAGAAACAGAGATGTGGGAATCTCAGTTAATAAATATGTAATTTAAGTGGGTATTAAGTAGATAACTTTTCTTCACTATTTTTCAGACCATTTCAGTTTCAGAATGTTCATGGCACATAAAACCCCACAGTAACTCAATATTTCATAATACTATGGGAAATGCCAAAGATAGGGACAATAATACATGAAAAAAAAAAAAAAAGAAGCATTGCTTTACAAACTTAGCGCCATGCTTCATGTCTGAATTCATTGGCCCAACACACTGTGTTTACGATATCTAAAGAATAGAACTACTCCAAACTGGGAGCCACCTCTGTTGGATTGGACTCAAACACATCTGGGTTTGATTCTTCAGGTTCTTCCAAAAGTTCTCGAGTCTGGACGGATTCTTTGTATGCAGGAGTCTCCTTGAAATCCGTTGCCCCTTCATTATATGTTGCCACAGCGATCCCACAAGCAATTAACTGTAATGGAAGTGGGTAAACAGCAGAGAAAATTTAATTCCCGATCGCAAATACAATTTGATAGATTAATTCCACTAGTCTGGAGAGATTAACAAGTTACCAAGTCAATCACAGATAGATATTGAAGCATATAAAAACTCCAAAGTAGGTCTCATTGAAAACAACGTCCAAAATGCTTACATGCTTGTTTCATAAATGAGCAGTAGGCTTAGATATCCTTACCTTTAATTAATAGACTGAATCTGCCTAAAAATTGTTTTCTAGTAAGATATTACTTGACTTAGAGAACAAGTTACAACATAATGAATTCCATAAAAATCTTGACAGGTATAATAAAATTAAAGATTAAAACTTGGCTTCTGATTCTTCTGTCCATGAGCATTGTAGTAGGTAAGGACAAAAATGTAACATAATTGGGTTCAAAAATACGTTAGTTTGAGGATTGTAGGAATCTGTTTAAAAGCATTTCATCCATTCTCAAGCACAAATAAAGAATGACCCTCCTAAGCCTATGGCATGTGGGTTTAGTGGGAACCTATGCTGATCTTTACATGTCAAGAATTCAATTCCCACCACTTCCCTTCCAGCCCAAAAGACAACATCATGGCAAATGATGGGAGACTGAAGGCTTTAGTAATGTAAAATCAAATGATAATAAAGCCCTTCAGTGTCATCTTCCCTTCATTTAGTTTTATTAAAGATAGTACAATGATAATTACATGTTTTCTTGCTGAAATATTATATTCGGCTTACAAGTAATTTATTTGTCTCCCTCACTTGCTCAACTTCTGAACAATGAATTAGCACTTGTCTTTCCATTCAATTCTAAACTTCCAAACATATCCTAAGTTTATTTATTATTCAACAGGGTCCTTCTAAGCGGGTTGAGTTGTATCATGTGCATCATCAGTAGTAAGCTGCACTTATTAGGATTTTCTTTAGGCGAAAATGCTTCAATTATTAAACTAACTAACATGTGAATGCCAGATTAGTGTATTTGGACATTCGAATTTGTTTGGTCAGTGTAGTACGGTTTCCTGTTTACTGTTTTTTCTTTTTTTCTTTTTTTGTTGACTTGCAGTATCAGCCGGCGGGTTTGTTGAATGTCTAAAGCATTTTTAGGGCCAAATAGAAAGGTGTAAAATTGAGTTGTATCTGACTCCGAAGCACCTAACACAATTCCCTAATGCCTAATTAGTTTTCAGAAAATCTGAAAAAACAAAACTTCATTCCATCAACAAACACAAGAATGAAATAAAGAAGTAAAGAACTAAGCAAGCAGAATCAAGAAAAATTCGAAGATCATACCGCGAAAACAATACCGAAGGCCCACAAATACTGCACGAAAAAGCCGAGACCATCCCACTGCGGGCCTTCCCAGAAGTCCGGTTTGTCGCCGGGAAGCTCCGGCAAGAAATAGCCGTCATCGGCGTTATCAACGACGTCTTGAATCTCGTCGGCTCTCTGGTCTTCTTGGTCTTCGGTGGTGACAGAGCCCCTTCGGCTCTTATCCAACCTTCCAGTACGGGGCGAAAACCTCTTTGCCGAAACTATGTGAAGTTTTCTAACAGAGAATGGGAGAGTGAAGTGAGAAGAGCGAATGACGGAGGTGTATGGAGCTCCGATGGATTGACCGGAGAGGATTCTAGCACCGCTACAACTACAACTACCTGTGGCCAACGCCATTAGACAAGGGACACAAAGCTCAGAAGCCACACCAGCACCAGTACTTCTTGCGGATAAGAGGAATAAGAACGTTTGCGGTCCGATTATCGGGTCCAAATCCGCGTAAGGTTATGGGTCGGTTTATCTTAACCCAATATGATACCTAACGTCCAGTTGAATCATCGGGTCCAGATCATATCTGCTAAGAAATTTATGTACGAATTTATAAAAATTTGGACTTTGCAAACGTTGAAATTCTATTATGTTTTGAAAAATTAATCATTAGTGTCCCGAAAATTAATTATAATTCGATTATAACTCTGTTCATAAAACATTGGATAATTATATAATAGCCAAGGGAACAACAGATTGAACGGTTAAAAGCACAAGTTATAGAGACTAAATAATTAGTATTTTATTTTTAATGCTAAAAATATAATTAATTTTTGATGATGGAGTTGGGTTGAGAAGGTTTAATGAGTCAAGAATATTTTAAAACAAATATTATGAAACGCCAGGAAAATAGAATTTATATGAGTTGTATACGAATATAAAAATTATTCTTCCGGTCCTTCATATAAGACCCATTTAACTAATTTGATTAGATTAAAAAAGTTATGTAAGTTAGTTAATTATAAGAAAAGTGACACATTTTTCCTAAAACACCATAATCATCTTTCTTAATACCTCATCTCCCTCTTCTACTTAATTATGGTTGAGGGAGTATTCATAGGGGTAATTTAGAGAAAATTGATAAATATGATAAATGGATCTTATATTTAAACTAAAATCAACTCAAAAATTAGGTTTTATATTAAGAACCGAGAGAGCAATAAAAATATCAAAAAGATCGAACCGATAAGACATGGGGATGCGCTAACGTTTAGCACGGAGGAAAGTGGCCAGATTGTGACGTTAAGGCCCCGACGCGAATGAAGACATGGACACCCAAAATGATTGGCCTCAAAATAGTAGCCGGTGGCTGAATGATTGTGGTGATCTGATAACAACACTTTTATTTATTTACAAGAAAATAAAATATTATTTGCAAAAAAAAAATCTAATATTGCCACTTGTTTCTCCAAAGTAAAATGCCCATCACAGGTTATACCGCGACAGTGTCGATATAATGACAAAGATTTAGTTCCTATTCAGGAAGCATTTAGAACACCCGATTTTTCACAAGTCATGTGTATTATAAAATTACTTTTAAAATTATGATTTAGTTTTTATTTAATTATGTTATTTTTAAAACGTCCTATTATTATTCCAAATAAACCCTTAAATAATTATCTTTTATATACCCATATTTAGCTATCTTGGTCCTAATCATTTAATTAAATAAAAATAAAACTTTGATTGAATATTCTATTTATGTTTCAAGTTCAATTATTGTTGTTACGATTTTTTCAAAAAAAAAATTAGCCAATTGCTGTCCATAATTGTTAGGCGCGCCACACAAAGTGGTTGGGTCTCTGAATCATAGTTTCCGGACGGTGGACGCCACCACCATCATGGCGACCCAACCCAGTACAAAAGAGATATCATAAAAGATATGACCTTCTCTTTTTTGGGCATGTCAAAGATATGAACTTTAATCCAACCCCCCACGTCACATCCATCTATTAAATATCAATATCTATTTACTGATGCGACGTCAATTATAAAAAAAATTAAACTACTCAAATGCTTTTTAACTGGGCGGATCGAGTTTAATTTTTTGAATTGACTGCCAAAATATGATCGAATCTTTCCTCCGCTTCCAGATTCACCTTCATTGTTTGGCAGGTTGATTATTGTCCTGTCCTTGTCAACCGTTCGAGCATATTTATTTATAATTATAATTTCATATTTGATTTTCATTTAATGATTTTTGGTTTAAGAAATACGAAAATGGAAAGCAGAGTACAAGAACAACGAAGAAATGCGGAGCTAAGGTTGAGAATTAATGCAACAAGAAAACTGTAATGAACGAATCTGAGAACTAATCTACTTGTCAAATTTTTCAGAACAGCCAAATGAACAAAATAATTAATTCTAGAGTTTTCACATCTGCCACCTACATTTTCTGTGCTCCTTTTCCGTCTTCATCTTCATATGGATTTACATTTTCCATGGTATGAACAAAACATTAAAACCCTCCCGGAAACGTTTCGGCAAAAGACACCACAAAATCTTGCCGCCGCCGGAACGTTCCCTGACATCCTCCTACAATCCTACATCGCCTGTAGAGACTCCGACCACCACAATACATCACCGACATCGGCGTGATCAAACAACCCATCGAGGGTAACAAAACCGCCGCCGTTGTCCTCGGCGCGTACTCAACAAACACGCCATTTCCATACCCGAGAACCTCGTACTGCGGAATATCATCTTCGAACCCCATGAACCCGCTCAGATCGATACCATCCGGTCCGACCCGACTGAACCCCTCGGTAAACGACTCCGGCTTATCCTCCTCGGGGGGAGGCGTCACCGTAGGTGGCAACCCGAGTTCGTCGTCGGACGCTTCCAGAAGATGCTGCAAATCACTGGACTCGTGAACCGGGTTAGAATCCCCCAGATCCGAAGCCGGGGCGAGTATTTCATCCTCGAAGCTCTTAATTACAGAGTCGAGACCCTGCATCGTCGGGTCACGCTCCGCGGCATTTTCAGGGTCTTCAAGGATGTTCATCAACAAATCATCCTCAATCTCCGTAGCCCCGGCCGATTCCAGAGGAACCGCAGCCGTGCCCGAGTCAGCCTGGCCGAGTTCATCACCCACCGAGTCATTAGACGATTCCGACGAGTTCGTCCGAGTGAGGTTGGACTCGGACGAGTTCACATCCGAGTCGGAGTGTACCCGGGAGATCTTAGACTCGTGCAAGTCCTCACCGAACTCGGACGAGTCATCCCGGA